AAAAAAAAAAAAAGAAAAAAGAAAAAGACCCTGTTGGAGCCATTTTTAATTATCAGCTATAGCAGGGCCCAACCCCTCAGAAGCAGGGCTTGCCCATCTTGTCACCAAAGCCTCAAGTAGGCAGCTGGCCTTTGGAGCAGACAGTAGAGAATGAAGGTCATGCATAGCTTACATACCTGCTGCTGTGAATACAGGAGTGTCTCAAGGTACTTGATCACATGGTTTTTGAAGTCCTTGGATTTCTCTTTCTATAGGAGACAGGATTCTACACTGACCATCCAGATAGTTGCCCCTTCCCCTTTTGATGGGATGGTGGTGGTTATTACTGACGAAAGCCAAACATTTCTGACAAAGCCTCAGAAAGTAGAGCCAGCAGTTGGAATAACTACCATTTCCAACCAAATAGCATTTTCCAAGGCCTTGCAAGGCTTTTCTTGGGACGGGGGGAAGGATAGGGGCCCAGAGGGTATATGGCAGCTGCAAGCTTTGCTTCTGTACAAGTGCTCTGGTCCAGGGGCCGGCCTGGTGGTGCACTGCTACAGTGCGCCGCTTGGGAGCGTGGCGGCGCTCCCGCCGAGGGTTCGGATCCCACATACAGACCGGCCGCTCACTGGCTGAGCGAGGTGCGGGAGCAACACCGAGGGTTGCGATCCCGTTGCCGGTCCCGGTCCGGTACGGGCACGACACTGAGGGTTGCGATCCGTTGCTGGTCACGAAAAAAGATAAAAAGGAAAAACAAAAAACAAAAAAACAAGTGCTCTGGTCCAGTAACAAGTGTTCCATAGGCACTGTGCCTAAGGAACGAGCATGTGCATGCGTAAGAGTTCCACAGCAGGTTATTTTTCACGCCTCTTATCACTCTGGAGTTAGCAGCAAACCAAATAGCAAAGGGAGAGGACAATGAGCAATCTCACGGGCTACATTAAACAACTCTACCATGAGGAAGTGAGGGCCCTGGGAGCAGCTCAGCTCTCGACACAACACAGAAGCTTCCTGGTGGGAGATATGTTGGGGATGGGGAGTAGGAGCTGGCACTGTTCCAACTCAGAGGCTCCTACATCCTGATCCCAAGATGAATTGGGGCAGACTCTCAGGCCCTTATCGGGTAGGTGCCAGGCTCCCTCTTGGTTCTTTCCTGTGTCTCAGGGAGGCCATATGAGAGCTAATACCACTACCCAGTCAAGCTTCCTTAACTGCTCTGAGAGCTCATGAAAAACGAGACTGCCCTGGTCATCAGGAGAAAAAGTGAGGTGCTTGAGCTGAGGGGCAGGCTGCAGTGCTGTTACCAGTGTGGTCAGCACAGCACAGCAAGGGCTCTGGTGACAAGCTCTCTCAGCCCCCTCGCCACACTCCTCCATGCAATGCCAAGCCGGTTCAGTGTAGTTACCTAACTGCCCACACTGAAGGGACAAGTGCAAGCCAGCAAGAGCTCTTACTGGGACAAAGCTGTCACTTACTATTAAGGAGGCAAAGACCAGAGGACTGAGGAAGTCACTGCTCCAGGGGGCTTAGACACCAGTTCTTCAATATGATGATTTCCATTCCTTTGGGTTTATACTCAGAAGTGGGACTGCTGAATCTCATGGTAGTTCTATCTGTAGTTGTTTGAGAAACCTCCATACTGTTTTCCATAATGGCTGTACTAATTTACAGTCCCACACTGCTTGAAGAAGGGAGCACAGAGGACATTGTCTAGCTTCAACAATAAGGGGGAGCCTACTTGGAAATTTGAGTGATCTTTTCTCCAAATGCATATAGAAAACTGGCTATGGGCCTCAAAATGACTCTGATAACCAGCTAACAGTTAAGGGGATTGTTTGGTTTATAGGACACCTTCTCTCTCAAGAGTAGAAAAAGTTACACCTATTTACAAGCTATAATGGAATGAAACTTTCTTGGGAAGGAGGACAGCAAAGGAAAGACAAATTAAATCAAGGGTGGAAGGTAGAAAGGAAATAGAAGCTTACACGGACTATGGCCAGGAGGCGAATGTAGTCACTCAGGAGCTCAGCAAGGAGGAAGAAGTCATTGTTGGCCTGTTCCTGATGGAGCTGCTCAATTTTTTCTTCCACCTCAGCCAGCTGGGAGAGTGCTCGTGACAATGCTGTGTTGTCCTCGGAGCTCCCGAGCATGGCTAGACTCTTTGCAAACTGGGCTGTGTTCAGCGCTAGCTCTGGAAGGAGGAAAAGACAGCAGAGGCCCCTCTGATCTCACAAGGAAAGGGAGAGGTCAGCTGGCATTGCATGGCATGTTATAGCAATGCTGCCCTGTGTATCTGACAACTGAGGGCTCTGTAACCCAGTCACCTACACTACCATCAACTGTATTCAGAAAGTGAAGGGAATGCAGCCCAGTCACAGTAGCAGGAGAGAAAGGCACCTGCTGTTCCAAATTCCACTAGGTTAGGCCTACCTGGAGGAAGCAGCTCCAACATTCCTGAAGAACCAAGGGCCAGTTAACACAAATAGGCCAAAGAAATGATTCTTGTTTTTATATTAAAGCTCATGAACTGCCATGCCTGTCTGCATGAGAGTAAATATATGTGTACACTGTACAGTCTTGTATATTCCATAGGAGGTTAAACTTTCTGTAAAAGGGCCAGATAGTAAATATTTTAGGGTTTGCAGGCCACACATGGCCTCTGCATATTTTTTGCCCCCCCCCACTCATCCCTTTCTTAGCTCATGACAATAGGCCCCATGGGCCATGTCATAGTTTACCAACCCTTATATTAGCCTCATGCTACTGGTCTTTTGACTGTTTAGATGTATAATTTTCAGCATGTTTAAGGCAGAGAAGGGAAGCATTCAAACTTGAAAAATTTCACTAGACCTTAAGCAAATCTCACCAAAGAAAGGTGAAGAAGGGTTTGGAGATATATATGGTTTCCTTGCATTTACACATTGCTGGTTTGACTATGTAGCTAAGGAATGTGTAATATCATTTTGGATGAAAGCCACCAACTCAAATCACATCAACAGAAGCCCACATTCCAGGTCAAACTGTAGCTGGGATGGCTTTCCTGAACCCCTCCCAGGTAGAAAGTACAATGCCCACAGTGGCTGAGTCATGTTACCTGCCACGAGACGCAGGGCATATCTTTTTGATCAGAACACTGAGGACCAGGTGGGCTAAGAATTTCAATTTGGATGGCTGAGAGGCTTGGGAACAGCATGCCCTCCCATCTCCAGCTCACTGGAGACATCAATCTCCCCCAGTTCCAAGTGTATTTCAGAGGTTGTTACCTTTCCTATGGTTGACTAGAGTTTCTACAACAGCATGCAGTTTTCGTAAGCGCTGCTCCTCACACTCTACCTCCTGGAGCTTCTCCTCAAACCACTGAAACACATAAGCCCAGAGCTTTAATGGAGGTTACTTGTATAGGTGCAGAATGCAGTCTTTCCTTAGTTTTTTTTTTTTTTAAAGGGATTGAATTATCTTTAAAAAAAAAAAAAGTCTCCAATCTCACAAATGTCAGGACTCCTCAGGGATTCTTACCCATAAGCCTGAAGGGATAAGGAGAGCTGAGAGGCACAGGGCTACTCACAATGTCTGATTCATTCATCTTGATGGTCATTTTGCTGACTGCATCTGTGGCTTTGTTGAACATCTTGAGGAGACCAGCACCACTCAACGTCTGGGTACCCACGGCTCGTGGCAGCTACAAGACCAAGAAGGCAGGGAAGGCAAGTTATCTGCTGCCCCTATTTTAGATTCAGAAGAATTAATATCCATCAGACAGCATGCCCAAAACTTGCCAAACAAATTATTTGAACTGTATATTGTTGTTTTCAAAGGCAGTTAGATGAATCCACAACATGTGCAGAGAGAAAAATATAAGAACCATGTTACAAAGAATCAGCAAAATTTGCAGCTTTTGATATTGTGCACAGACAGAAAGGAGACTGTGAGTGTTACGTGGCCAGGTGACCTCACACTGAGGTTGTCTGCCCACCCAGGCATGAACTACTTAAATACTAAGCATACTTTTCTTAAAAGTCAAAAGTTCCTTTGGATTAGCATACTCTGCACACTGGATTTAAGGTCTTGAGAGACTTTGAACTTGTGCTCTGATTCCACTCAGATTTCCCTCAGTGAACAAATGTCCAAGGACAAGAACGTTATCATTGAGATTGAGGCTACTATTAGGGATGACCTAATTAAGTCAAGCATGCCAAATGTTTAGAAATAATTTGATTGGCTCAGTCTTACCACTGCTCTCCTAAAGCATGGAAGAGATGCTGAAGAACCTACAGCATATAGTACACTTTGCTGAAAAAGTAGATTTTAGTATTCAGGACTCTAGGGCAGTAGTTCTGAACTTGGGGCCATTTTGCCCTCTAGGGGACATTTGGCAATGCCTGGAGATTTTGGTTGTTACAACAATGGAGAGGGTGCTACTGGCATCTAGTAGGTAGAGGCCAGCGATGCTGCTCCAACATGCTACAATGCCCAGGACAGCCCTCACAACAAAGACTTATCAAGCCCAAAGTGTCCACAGTGCTGCTATACACAAACCCTGCTGTAGGGATATGAATTGAGTGAAAAGGAAGAATGCATTTAGAAATACCCAGAGGAGGAATTAAAAGATTTAAGACATTTGACAGAATTTTTAATTTAAAAATTTCCTTTTGGGGCCGGCCCGGTGGCGCACTGCTACAGTGTGCCGCTTCGGAGCGTGGTGGCGCTCCCGTCGAGGGTTCGGATCCCACATACAGACCGGTTCCCACTCACTGGCTGAGCGAGGTGCGGGCATAGCACCGAGGGTTGCGATCCCATTGCTGGTCCCAGTCCGGTACGGGTGCGACACTGAGGGTTGCGATCCGTTGCCGGACACGAAAAAAAAGACAAAAAGGAAAAAAAAAAAAATTTCCTTTTGAAAAAAAAAAACAAAACAAAACCCATGTACTTCCCACCATTTTCTTCTTTACAGTAATAGATAACATATGCAAATTAAAGAAAAATTTAAAATAAAAACAAAATGATAGTCCTACTCTGTCACTCACTTCCTAGTTTTCTTTTATTCCAGTGTTTCTTTTGATCCTTAATGACATATGTTTCTATGCTATATTGATGCTGTTTCATGTTTCACTTTTTATAATTCTTTTAATATATACTTCAACATACAAACATTTCTGTATACTTTCTGTTTATGATGAGAATAAAGTATTTGTTGTATTGATATACTTTAGTTAATTCTTCAATTGTTAGCAATTGGGCCATCTCCAATTTTTCACAATTGTGAATAGCCTACGCAGAGCTTGTAAAAGAGACTGTCCACTTGAATCAACACTTTTGCTGCATGGCAGTTCTGTGGTCTGTGGTAATTGGTTTTTAACCAATGCCCCTCAGCTCCTGGCACAAAATATGCATTCAATTTGAGCCAAGTAAGTAACCTATGAAAGCCATGCCAAGGACTTACCAAATAGATCATTGTGTAGACCCAGTAAGACAAAACTAGGTTACAGTTTGACCTCTACAACCATTTCTTCTGACTACAGGAGAACCCTCTTTTATTTCTAAGGCTGAAAAATACTAGTCACTCTTTGAGACTCAAACAAAACCAGGATATACTTTGGTACTAGGCATGTTAAGTGCTCAAATATTTGTTGAATGAACAAATTTCATTTCACTAGGGGCAGATATGAATTGTGAAACTCAGTTTGTACGATACTAACCTCTTCTTTTTCCAAGAATTCTCTGACATCAGGGTCCTGTAACATGGTAGGATGATTCACAATTCTCTGAAGGTACCTAAAAGGTAAGCAGTTATCATATGGTTATTCAATCTGGCCTCACAAGGTTTTGGGTGTCATATAGTGCTGGCAGAGGTACCATGTCTTTCATTATTTAAAATGTCCTCAGATAGGGCACAGACTTTATGAGCCTGAAAGCACAAGCAGTGAAAGAAAAAATAAATGAATGGGACTATATCAAACTAAAAAGCTTCTGCACAGCAAAGGAAACAATCAATAGGTGAAACGACAACCTACAGATTGGGAGAAAATTTTTGCTAACTATGCATCCGACAAGGGATTAATATCCATAATATACAATGGACTCAAGCAATTATACAGTAAAAAAAACAAATAACCCAATTAAAAAATGAGCAAGGAGCTGAATAGACATTTTCCAAAGGAGGACATACAAATGGCCAACAGGTACATGAAAAAATGCTCAACATCACTAGTCATCAGGGAAATGCAAATTAAAACTACACTGAGATACCACCTCAGCCCAGTTAGACTGGCTATAATCAAAAAGACGGGGAATAACAAATGCTGGCGAGGGTGTGGAGAGAAGGGAACACTCCTACACTTTTGGTGGGACTGTAAGTTAGTACAACCACTATAGAAAACAGTATGGAGGTTTCTCAAACAACTACAGATAGATCTTCCATACGATCCAGCAATTCCACTTCTGGGTATACCCAGAGGAATGGAAATCATCATGTTGAAGGGATACCTGCACTCCCATGTTCACTGCAGCTCTGTTTACAATAGCCAAGACATGGAACCAACCTAAATGTCCATTGATGGATGACTGGATAAGGAAACTGCAGTATATATACACCATGGAATATTACTCTGCCATAAAAAAGAATGAAATACTCCCATTTGCGACAACATAGACGAGCCTGGAGAAACTTATGTTGAATGAAATAAGCAAAGCACAGAAGGATAAATACTGCATGTACTCACACATATGTGGGAGCTAAGAGAGAAAGAAGGAAGGAAAGAAAGACCACAGTAGTGCATTGGACTTGTAGAGGGAGAGAACATTCTTTGGGCTACAAAGTGGAGTGGGGGGGAATGGGGAGAGAGAGGGAGGTTGGAGATAATTGGGTGGGGGACACGGGATACAAATACAATTTGTAGTGATGGGTATGCTGCCAGTATGAATCTGGCCCTCACATCATGGGCACGAGGGGTGACAATCAGCTTTGCATCTCATGAATATTCACAGCCAAAAAAAAAAAATGTCCTCAGATAAGGCTTTTTACATAGGACTCTGCTTGCAAGCACATTCAAGTTCACATTCTTCACATTTCCAAAAAGGGACAGAAAAATAACTAGTCAGAAAGGCCTAAGAGGGCTGGCCCGTGGCTCACTCGGGAGAGTGTGGTGCTGATAACACCTAGGCCACGGGTTCAGATCCCATATAGGGATGGCCGGTTTGCTCACTGGCTGAGCGTGGGGCTGACAGCACCAAGTCAAGGGTTCAGATCCCCTTACGACATCTTTAAAAAAAAAAAAAAAGAAAGAAAGGCCTAAAAACTAATTCATATCTGATTGTCCAAGAAGAATATGACTGTCTGCTCACTAAGGATGGGGAAAGAAAAGATGGTCTATTCCTAAGGTGGGAAGAGACTTAAGTTCAGAGATAATATGGAAGTATGAATCTTTACTTCACTCAAGCTTCATCTCGACTAACTTAAGCTAATGTCTCATAATTAAGTATCAGTTTCAGTTTCTCACTTGTTCTCATGTTATTCAGGAAAATGGTTGTATGGCACTTACCTTTCTAGAGCAGCCCTTCGTTTTTCAAGAAATTCTGCAGAAGAAGAATCTTCCTTCCCAACTTTCACTTTTGTCATTCCTAGAATGAAATTTAAAAAAAAGCAAAATGACCATAAATCATCATGAAAAGGATAAATCTGTAAAAAAGCTGACAGGAGGAAAGATAACAAGGATAGCACTACAAAGTACAACCTATGGCCATTTCTGTGTCATGAGCAGGCATGAACAAAAGATTCTTTACATAAAAATCATTCTTTTAACTACAGGAGTCTCTAAGTGCTGAAGGTTATAAACTCTGGGACTTGCAGGGTGTACATTTTCTATAAAAAAAGGGGAGCCGTGGGACTCTAAGCATAGATTAACAAACATAAATTGGTGATAATGGGAAGGCTCCTCTGCCAGTCCCCAATCCAATTTAGTACAGTTCAATCAGGAGGCAATAGCAAACATTTAAGATTCCTGGATTCTGGGCCGGCCCGGTGGCGCACTGCTGTAGTGCGCCGCTTGGGAAGCACGGCGGCGCTCCCGCCGAGGGTTCGGATCCCACATACAGACTGGTTCCCGCTCACTGGCTGAGCGAGGCGCGGGAGCGACACCGAGGGTTGCGATCCCGTTGCTGGTCCCGGTCCGGTACGGGGGCGACACTGAGGGTTGCGATCCGTTGCCGGACACAGAAAAAGACAAAAAGGAAAAAAAAAAAAAGATTCCTGGATTCTACTACTAAAATGAAAACAAAACTCTGGAGGCTAAAACCAGAGCCACCTACTATAGCCAAGGAAAGAGAACATGTCAAAATATGCTATTTCTTTAGACCTCACGTGTAGGAAAACGCTGGAAATGTCTCATTTCTAACCACAAGAGTCTACACTGTTAATAGAAGTATTCTCATATACTAAGCAGTAAGTACATTACCAAAAGAATGCAAAGGAAAAAAATCCTACTGGAATTAAAGACCTTGGGCTTACCTATTAGGCTCTTCTCTGGTGGAGGAGGAACAATGAAGCCATTCTGAGAGTGCTTCTCTGAAAGCTTCTCATAAAGACCCAGAAAGTCACTAAATCTTCTTTTGACTGCAAACTGTTTACTTCTGAACATTGGTAAGCTCGTCTTGGGGACAGAAAAAACAAAAGGTGATTTCATTCCAAATAGGGAATGAACAAATATCTTGAAATCCATCCAGCTGACATCAAAGGAAACTATTTCCCGGATCCTTGCCCTTTAGCCACCTGGCAAATAATTTTCTCCAAGGCAGAGATTCTTAAGCTTTTTTGAGCTACAGTCCACTCTGGCAGTCTGAGAGCCTAAGGAGCCCTTCTCAGAATAATGATTTTAAATGCATAAGATAAAATACATAGGATTACAGAGGCAACAAATTAATTTCAAATGTAGTTTCATTCCTAGGTTAACAACCCTTGCTCTAAAGAAACGAAGGTTGAATTCTAGTTCAAAGCTAGAATTCTATGGTCACCTATAAGCCATTTATCCTGCACTGACTTATTAAAGAGTATTAGCTGCTAGAATTAAGGCAGCCAAACTAAAGACATTTTAACCTCTAAAATGTCACAGGATCTACAGCTTGTAGGAGGCAAGCCAACAAGTATTAGAAAGATAATACAAAGGAGACTTTTAGTTAAAAAAAAAAAAAAAAAAAGGCTAGGCCTACCTCATAATGAGAGATCACTTTATACTCCCCAGATAGGCAAAATTTATGGCTGGCAAGGAAGTGAATCGATGGGAATTTGTACAAATGGAAACTTGGTACAAGACTTTAATAAAGAGTTTGCATTCCTTGTGTTTGATATTTGTATTACCTATGACCTAGGAGAACTACTCCTGGTTATATACCCTAGAGATACTCTTCCATGTGTGCACTGGAGACATGCACACATGGAAGGAGTACACGTGTGCATGGTAAAGGAGATCTGAACCTTTTACCTCGGTGTAACAACACCGCCCTCTAATCAACTCAACTAATCGGCCAGCCCTTTAAAGACTTTTTATAAGGGAAGTCAGAGAGAACTCAGGAGAGTGGTTGCCTCTAAGGTATGAGGCAGGGGATATGATAGGAAAAAACATGCCAGTGGATTCAACGGTACTCATCTTAAGACTGGTGGTAGGTTCAGGGCTTCATTTTATTGTGTTTCATAACTTGCACACAACATTGTATAAATTTTGTATGCATTAATATTATATAAAAGGATGGCCAGACCCAAGGGGCAAAAGGGTAAGGGAAGTATTAGAAGAAGCTCAATATATGAAACCTCAGAAGAACTGAGGACTTTTAAACAGGTAATTACAGTCAGCCCTCCGTATCCATGAGTTCTGCGTCCATGGATTTAATCAACTGTGGATTGAAAATATCCAGGAAAAAAAATTCCACAAAGTCCCCAAAAACAAAACTTGAATTTGCCATGTGCCAGATACTACTTTGAATTCATGCAAATCAAGTGATGTGTAGGCATTGTATTAGATATTATAAGTAATCTGAAGATAAGTATAAGGAAGGATGTGCATAGGTTATATGCAAATACTATGCCATCTTATATCAGGGACTTGAGAATCTGCAGATTTTGGTACCCATGGGAGGTCCTGGAACCAATCCCCTACAGATCCTGAGGAACAATTGTACTCTTAGTTTGGGGCAATTTGCCAAACTATCTCCAAACCACACATTTGCCAAGAGAGAAAGGGCTGTATAAGATACACCGCATGTCTTAATAAAACTTATAAAGTTTTACACTGAAGTGTTAGCTCTCAGGAAGAATATTGGAAAGGCTTACTCTGGAGTACCCAAATGAGATTACCAAGGGGATGTAGACTTGTTCCATCCTGAGCAAACACAAAGGAAGATGTTGGCAAATAAACTAATAAGACACCCAGAAATAATCTCAATAATGACCCTCCTGGTATGAGCACCCAAGTCCTTTAAAGTGATCATCAGCAGGGTCACTTGGACTCACCTGTGTTGTAACTTTGTAGGCTACATATGCATTCATACCATCCCCTGTGGGAGAACAAGAAAGCAGGAGAGGATTATCCTGTAAACCAAAGCAGTGCTAATCCAGTTAACATTTACCAGGAATCATAAGCAACAGGAGCCCTGTTATCAGAGGGTCTATGTGGTTTCATCTCCAAGCTTTTCAACTGATCCTAGAATCCAGTTCCTTCTTTGCTTCAGGGCCTCTGTGGCACATATCATGCCCCCACGGATGCTGGCTGGACCCCAATTTGAGTTAAACAAGAGAGTCAGCTCCCTGTTCCAAAGCCAGGCTCCATTTATACCCTCCACAAAGCAGCACTGGATACTGACAATTCATCAGTTGTTACCATGCCAATATTTGGGCTGGTTACACACATCTGTCTGAAACCAAACAATTCTCTTGCTGTATAAAGAAGGAGAAGGAAGCAACTGATGTAAAAGGAAACAAGTAGTTCTACCCTAGGCTAGCTCTGGGCTCAGTTTGCTCTTTCAGAAATAGCGTCATGGCCCCCTCCATTGGTGCTGGGGAACATTAACTTCTCTGATCTGGCAGGTTTACCCAGAGCAAAGGGCCTGGCAGGAAGGCACTTTGGCTGCCTGATGTCACACAAATCTCCCTTTGCTAGAGGAATTATTTTTATGAAAAAGCCTTTGGCTATTAAATAATTTGGGGTTCAAGCAACTGTTTTTCTCTGTGATAGTGTCCTGATCTAGACCACTGAGAGAGATAAAGCCACACTGACTCCCTAAACATTAAAAAGACGTACATTGGAACCCAGACAGACACAGCTCCAGTGCTGCACTACGGTGTTTGGGGTTGGTTTTGTTTCCTTCCTCTCCCACCTCTGATTCCTCTCCACATCAAACAGGAAAACCTAGGCCAACAAATACCAGCTGCTTAAGCTCCTGAACTGGTTCTGGGTGAGGGGTTGGGGGAAAAGGGGCAGTACTGGATCAGCAGGGTCACATATTGCAACTTGGTTTCAATGAGATGGCTGGAAATGCCTGCTTTTATAAAGTACACAGAGAAGCTAGAGTTTATACAGTAACAGAGAGCTTACCTGCTCTACCTCCCCAACCCCTACCAAAAGGGTGTGTATAAAACAGAAATCATAAGCTAAGCCTTAGAAATTATATGATACTGATTACCACCTTTAGCTCTTCTAAATCACACTACACTGCCTAATACTACTCAGGACTTTTACCACTGATTAAAAAAAAAAAAAAATCTGAGTTCACTTTATAGAAGTAGTATTCAAAATTTCATTCACAATAGAATAGTCATGGCCAAACATCCAAAAGGTCTATCTCATAATTCAATGCTTATAATTGAGGAAAGTCAAAGTGCAAACATACATAAAACATAGTAGCAAATTAGGATTTTCAGACACTTTGCCTGCATGTCAGCTGCTTTTATTAAGGCAATGTATGTGAAAAGAAACATACTCCATGTAAGTACAGAGCACATAAGAAATGGGCTAGTATTACAATAGGTTTAAAATTTATTTAAATTTCCTAAATAATTTCAGAGAGTTGAAGGCTCTAAAAAGAATATCCTAGTAGAAGTTAGATTCTAATTTGTTTGTGGGGTACAGTGTGTTGTTTCAATACGTGCATATACTGCACAATGAGTCATTTAGGGTAGACAGCATAGTTTTGTATCCAGTAGTCTACCACATCTCTTTCCCTCACCCTCCCTCCCCTCCCGGCGTCTGGTAACCATTATTCCACTCTCTACTTCTATGAGAACCACTTGTTTTTTTTTTAAAGATTCTACATATGAGAGAGATCATGCGGTATTTATCTTTCTGTGCCTTAGATTCTAATTTATTTAGATGTGTGTGGGAACGAGAAGGACATGTTGAATAAAGAACCCCCACAAACAGAACATGTTGTTGTAAAGATCAGGCCTTGAATATGAAAATGTTTTAATTAGCTGGTTTCTTGGCATCAACACAGCTAAGAATCTAGACTACAGTGTCAGGGGATAAAAGCTTATCACCAAAAGTGATTAATGTTTTTTTTGTTTTTTTTTTAAAGATGACCGGTAAGGGGATCTTAACCCTTGACTTGGTGTTGTCAGCACCACGCTTTCCCAAGTGAGCCACAGGCGGGCCCAAAAGTGATTAATGTTTAAATAAATCTGATTCATGGGATGTTTAAATTACTTTCTGTTTATGGGGTGAATTATGTCCCTTCCAAAATATATATGTTCAAAGTCCTAACTCCCAGTACCTTAGAATGTGACCTTATTTGGAAAAAGGGTCTTTACAGATGTAATCAAGTTAAAATGAGGACATTAGGGTGGGCCCTACTCCAATATTACTGGTGTCCTTGAAAGGAACATTTGGAACATAGACATGCATAGAAGGAAGACTCTATGGATATACTTAGGAAGAATGTCACATGAAGACGAAGGCAGAGATTGGAGTGATGCATCTATATGACAAGGAATGCCTGAGGCTACCAGAAACTAGGAGAGAGGCATGGAACAGTTCTTCCCTAGAGCCTTCAGAGGATGCATGGCCCAGCTGATGCCAAAGTTTCAGACTTCTGGCCTCTAGACTGGGAGAGAACATGTTTCTGTTGTTTTAAGCTACCCAGTTTGTGGTATTTTGCTACAGCAGCCCTAGGAAACGAATATCTTTCTCTCTTGGTTCAAACATCATGACGTTTTAAATATTAAAATAATAGTACCACTCAAAATTTGTCTTATTCCACCAAGGATTTAAAACAGCTAATAACTGGCTTAAAATTAATGTGCTTATAGAATATGCATAAATAATAGAGAGGAAAGATGGAATCCTAGACAGTTACCCCAAATTCTGGTCCAGGCTCTGCCATGGGCCACATTGTGCCCTAACAGAAAAGCTACTTCCTTTTTGATTTTCAGTTTCCACTACTGTTAGATAAGGAAATTGTATAAGATGCTCATAAACATCCTATCAGGGCAACAGTCCAGGAAAAGTAAAAATCAACAGTTTAATGACAACTATTTTGGTATAAAATCTAACTAGACTTTACAAATTCCTGTTCCGAGTTCTGAATAGACAAAGGACTGTGAATTACATTTTTCCGCTTCACCATTTGTCCTCTTACCCATATAAACACTGATCCTGCTTGGAGTTACAAGGCTCTGTACAGCTTCTTTTGTAAGGGACTATACCTAGAAGGAAAATCAAAGCCTGTTCTCCACTCATGAACAACTCTTACGAGCTTAGGACAGAAGAAGGCTATCCTAAAAATCCAAGTCTGGCCAAAGTTAAGTATAATGCTTTTTGAAAATCTAACTTCAATTTGACCACATTTAACCTGGGTCCTTTAGTGTGTTTCATCTTCAAAAAAGAGATGCAGACTTCCTCACCTCATTAGGAGATCAAGAGTACATGATAAGTGATATGTAACAAGAGTTTCAGACTTCTTGAGGGAAAAATACGTTCAGTATCCCAAAATTTCCGAACATGTATTTTTAAAGTGGTTAAATGGAATTTATAATCTCAAAACAGAGTAAAATGTTCTGTCAACTTTGAAGGTAAAGGCAATGTTTGGGTTTCTTTTTTTTTTTTTTGCAGCTGGCCAGTAACAGGTATCAAAACCTGGAGCTCAGGGTAATCAACACCATGCTCTAACCAAATGAGCTAACTGGCCAGCCAATGTTTTTGTTTTTAAAAAGGGATTCTAATAGTATTTGAGGTTTCTGATTTTTCTTCTTAAAGTCAACAAAAGCCTAAATAAATTACCAGGTAATTGCTGTCTCTGGCCTTAGAAGCACAGCAAAGGGTATATTTTAACAGAAAAGATACTGATGAAGTACTTCATACTGGCTGGTTCAGCTCAGGAGGTAGTCTTTCTGATATTAGCTGCCTAACACTTTCCACAGCTACATCCACCCATCACAAAGAGTCCCAAGAAGACTCACCTATCTTTTCAGGATCAGTTATACCGACTGTCAAATCAAATTGGTCCTCCTGTTCTTCTTCCTCTAGCTTTTTAAAGAAAAGACAAATCATGAGAGTTGATATGAAAAAGGCTTTTAATTTTACCCTGAATTAACCTTATATCAATATAATAAAATCAAGATGTATCCTTCTATGTATCAGTGTTCAGCTCTGTTCATTTCCAACAATCTCCATGAACCAACTCCCAGAATTTTAAGTTGGATGCCAGCTCACAGGTCTTTGTTACATCTATCATTTAAAAGCTTATTTTGATGACAATAAATAACTACTAGATTTTGAACAACCTGCCTCTGTCAGGCTAAGGTAGGAGTGAGGAGAGACTATACTCCTGAATATGGGAACTTCGGACATTAAATATCATTAGTGACTATTGAAAGCCTTTGTGCTATCCTCTGGCCACTAGATATTCTGCCTAAGAAAGAGTTCTTTATTGGATTCTGGCTGTCCATTAACCATAAAGGTCTCCTACAAGAGTCAGAGTCATAAATATTTTCTCAAGGTTCATACTCAACTGAACTTTATTATTATTTTTTTTTTTCTAAAAGATGACTGGTAAGGGGATCTCAACCCTTGACTTGGTGTTGTCAGCACCACGCTCTCCCAAGTGAGCTAACCGGCCATCCCTATATAGGGATCCAAACGCTTGGCCTTGGTGTTATCAGCACCACACTCTCCCGAGTGAGCCACGGGCTGGCCCCTCTCAACTGAACTTTAGACTGGCAGCACAGAGTCCTAAAAATCCAAAAGCATCAAGACCAATAGCACAGATTCTCACCTCCTCATATCTTGGCTGGGACTTAGAAGAATTTGGGGCTTCTTGTGGAGGAAGAGAAATGAGTGCTTTGGCTGGCACCTTCTTCTGATTATTTTGTGTGCTGTCCAGGGATAGCTCCACTGTAGCATCTAAAAACAGTTAATATTTTTAAATAAAGGTCAATAATGGGTCTTTGAAGGCTGAACTTCTATAGGCTATGAGACTTAACAGAACAATAACAAGCACTCTCAATACTTGGAGACTTTCAGACTAAGAGAACAAGAGTCATGACATTTTTACATGCATAAAAGGGGAGGATGGTAAGGGAAGTAATGTTCTAGCACAAACTTAGTAGAACAACCTCTCCCTCTCCTTTCCAAATACAATTACTTAACTACTCTCTTCTACCTAGAATTTAGGCAACAACCAGGGATCAAGCAAAAAGACTACACAGCCAAAATAAGTGTGTCCATTAATTTTACTCTTAGAAGTATTTCTTTAAACCTTATATGAACACTGTTCTTTTTATAATTGTTTGTGAAAGAAGAATAAGTTTGGTTATCTGCTTTACCAACCAACATGATAGAAGAGACAGGCATACTAACAGCAAAAAATGACATCAAGGGAAGAGTCAGGAAAACTATAAGCTAGAGAAAATGGACCCAAGATACAAACACAGCAACACTTGGGAAAAGGAGTCTGCTATACCTGAGGATAGCACTGTTATTTTAGCACAGTTTAAGAATTTTTCACAATTACAGTTTAGATCTTGCAAAGATTAAATCATATTTAATATGTTATCCAAATGAGAAAAAAAGACATATAATATCTGAAAATCTTTCTAATCAATAGTTAAAAAAACAAATAGTGCTTAAGAGCTGCCTTTGTCTATCTGGGGAAACTTATCTGAAAAGAACAACTCATTCCCTAAGTGTTCCAGAAAGGGGACTTTAAAAATAGTATTACGCATCATTTTTAGGCACGAAAATTTTTTATGTAAGTAAAAAGAATACATTTTTCAACTTGGAGCAATAGGGCTAGAAGTTCTAAATCCAAACGGTTCAAATTTTTTCTTTTCAGTAGAGAAAAATATAAATATCCATTGGGTTTGGCCTGATCAGTAGGTATTCAATTTTAATCTTAGGAAACTCAAAGAAAGCTTTTTCTTCTTCTTTTCCAGATTGTCATTTGGAGCTAAAATGAAACCAGAGATGGGGACCCATAAGGAATAATCAAGTCCTAGATCAGTGCTCTAATCATTAAATGTGAATCATGTCTGCAAACAAAGTTGCCACACCATTAGAAATGGAGTCTGATCCCTTTCAGCAAAGAGAGAGGTAATATAATCTGATCCTGGTTTGGGAGTATAAAACAAAAAAAGTATACATAATTATCATGTTAGGTTGTTAGGAGTCTAACAAGCAATCAGCCGAAGTATGGGTATGATATTCACATCATGCAGGTCCCACATAAATAATTAAGTTAATAAATGTGTTTGGAAATGAAACAAGAGGTACTACTCATTTAAAACCTTTGGCTTAATAGAGTGTTACTAAAAGCCTTTTAAAGAGCTGTGCATTTTCTATTGAAATTCATGTGACAAAGATGGCAAAACTTACAATTAAAACACGCTTTTTTTTTTGGACTCCTGATACGAGCAATGGAAAAGCCTTTGGGCTCCATCAGAGAGACTCTGATCATCACTAAACCAACCAGGTAGAAATATAATCAGAGCATTTATATTTTCAGTCAATATGTAAAACATCCGAGAAGCTACTCAAGTCATAAACATCTCACTGTAGACATTTCTTTCTTAGTAGTGAGGCAGGTATTGGCTGTTTACGAAACTGGTAGGAGAATGAAGTAAATCAGAATCCTCATTACTAATAAATATGTCCCTAATAAAGATTTTCTACATGGTCTTGTACATAAAACCCAGTCATGGGGTTAACTCTGTCACACTAAGATTTCAGGTCTTATGAAGAAAGATCATACAAATGTTAAAGTCCCAAAGACAGAAAATTTACCTTTTTTAAAACTAAAGAGAATTCACTATTTGTTTTCATATCATTTCTTCCCCAAAAATTTTATCCAAAAAATATTCACTACCAGAATGAATAGTGTGTACTTTCAGTTTCAGGGATGAAAGGAAGTGGGAAGTCTCCTAAATCTTTATATTCCTTCTTCTAACCTCTTCTTTCCTTTCATGTTTTTAAAATTTCCCACCAGAGTTCTAACGTGAGAATCCTCCCAAGATCTTACCTTCCACCCTCTTGGCTCTGCCCTTCCTCACCATTCTCTCCTTTGAGGATCTCATTCACCTGGCAGCTTCAACTACCACCTCTAGGAAGCTGATTACCATGTCTCCTGTTCTTTTATCTTTCCCCTGGTAGAGTACCACAGTTCAAATCACATCCTGGGAATCTCCCTTCGCATTTCAAATTTAAAATATCTAAAATCTAAAGTAACTTTCCCCCAAAGCCAGTTTCTTCTTCACAATGTGGTTCTAAAAAGGGTACCATTCTCTTCTCAACCCTTGGACTTGAAACTTTGACTTGCTCTTTTTTTGATACCCATTATATCCAATCACTAACACCAGATTTTGCTGATTTCTCTTTTGAAAAGTTTTCACCTTTCCTTTCCTACTTCTTTCACCTTATGTTTGGTCTTTACCATTTCATTCTAAAACTAATTTGTGATTGCTTTCTAAAAAGTCTCCAGTCTGTGCCTACTGCAGCTCGTTTTATAGTCCACTAGATCAGTCTTCCTAAAACATTACTTTGCCCATACCACATTCCCTATGCAAATTTGCCAATGGCTCTTAATTGGCATTAGGATAAAAATGGAAACTCTAATTACTAATGTCTAAAGTCCCCCCAAAACTGTTCCCACCCTATTTCCAGCTGTATATTCCATGGCTTCTCTAAGAACCCTCTGCTTTGGACCACCAAGTTTATTGACTATCCTTCAACCCCACATGATACTTCCTGCCCAACCACTTGGACCCTTTTTCATTTTCTTCTACATAAATCCTGTTTCTTCCAGGAAGTCTTCCAAGATCACTCTAGACCAGCCTTTTTCAATGTTGGCCCTATTGACATCTTGGGCTGAATAATTCTTTGTTATAACGGGCTATCCTGTGTATTGTAGGGTGTTTAGGAGCATGCAGGGCTTCTGTCCAATAGATAACAGTAGTAGTCCCAGTTGTGACAAACAAAAATGTCTCCAACCATCACCAAATGTCTTCTGGGGGCAAAATGACCACCTGTTGAGAACAGGGAAGTCTCCCTTGGCAAAGAATTATCCAGCTCAAAATGTTAATAATGCCAGGGTTGAGAAGCCCTGCTCTATGCTAATGTTTTTCAAACTGCAGGTTGTGGCTTGTTGGTGGATTGTGAAATCAATTCAGTGGACTGCAAAGAGCATTAAAAAAAGAGAAACAATAGAAAATTTCAGATTGTATTACACCATTTTAAGGGCAAGTCACTTAATAAAACTTTTGTTTCAGTTTTCTACAAGTACACACATATTTTGGACTATGACACAAAATGTATTTCTTACTATTAGTCTTTTTTTTTTTTTTTTTTAATTTTTTTTACTGGCTAGCCAGTACAGAGATCTGAACCCTGGACTTTGGTGTTACAACACCAAACTCTAACCAACTGGCTAACCGCCCAGCCTCTCTTACTATCAGTCTTGGTCATAAAAGTCTAATGCCACTGTCATTAGCCACTGTAGTCAGAGATCTCATACTACATGAACTCCCATGACTTAGTATTTCTATCATTCCTCTGGCTACATTTCTATTATTGTTTGTTTAACTCATGNTAATCAATAGTTAAAAAAACAAATAGTGCTTAAGAGCTGCCTTTGTCTATCTGGGGAAACTCATCTGAAAAGAACAACTCATTCCCTAAGTGTTCCAGAAAGGGGACTTTAAAAATAGTATTACGCATCATTTTTAGGCACGAAAATTTTTTATGTAAGTAAAAAGAATACATTTTTCAACTTGGAGCAATAGGGCTAGAAGTTCTAAATCCAAACGGTTCAAATTTTTTCTTTTCAGTAGAGAAAAATATAAATATCCATTGGGTTTGGCCTGATCAGTAGGTATTCAATTTTAATCTTAGGAAACTCAAAGAAAGCTTTTTCTTCTTCTTTTCCAGATTGTCATTTGGAGCTAAAATGAAACCAGAGATGGGGACCCATAAGGAATAATCAAGTCCTAGATCAGTGCTCTAATCATTAAATGTGAATCATGTCTGCAAACAAAGTTGCCACACCATTAGAAATGGAGTCTGATCCCTTTCAGCAAAGAGAGAGGTAATATAATCTGATCCTGGTTTGGGAGTATAAAACAAAAAAAGTATACATAATTATCATGTTAGGTTGTTAGGAGTCTAACAAGCAATCAGCCGAAGTATGGGTATGATATTCACATCATGCAGGTCCCACATAAATAATTAAGTTAATAAATGTGTTTGGAAATGAAACAAGAGGTACTACTCATTTAAAACCTTTGGCTTAATAGAGTGTTACTAAAAGCCTTTTAAAGAGCTGTGCATTTTCTATTGAAATTCATGTGACAAAGATGGCAAAACTTACAATTAAAACACGCTTTTTTTTTTGGACTCCTGATACGAGCAATGGAAAAGCCTTTGGGCTCCATCAGAGAGACTCTGATCATCACTAAACCAACCAGGTAGAAATATAATCAGAGCATTTATATTTTCAGTCAATATGTAAAACATCCGAGAAGCTACTCAAGTCATAAACATCTCACTGTAGACATTTCTTTCTTAGTAGTGAGGCAGGTATTGGCTGTTTACGAAACTGGTAGGAGAATGAAGTAAATCAGAATCCTCATTACTAATAAATATGTCCCTAATAAAGATTTTCTACATGGTCTTGTACATAAAACCCAGTCATGGGGTTAACTCTGTCACACTAAGATTTCAGGTCTTATGAAGAAAGATCATACAAATGTTAAAGTCCCAAAGACAGAAAATTTACCTTTTTTAAAACTAAAGAGAATTCACTATTTGTTTTCATATCATTTCTTCCCCAAAAATTTTATCCAAAAAATATTCACTACCAGAATGAATAGTGTGTACTTTCAGTTTCAGGGATGAAAGGAAGTGGGAAGTCTCCTAAATCTTTATATTCCTTCTTCTAACCTCTTCTTTCCTTTCATGTTTTAAAAATTTCCCACCAGAGTTCTAACGTGAGAATCCTCCCAAGATCTTACCTTCCACCCTCTTGGCTCTATCCTTCCTCACCATTCTCTCCTTTGAGGATCTTAGTGGGAAGTCTCCTAAATCTTTATATTCCTTCTTCTAACCTCTTCTTTCCTTTCATGTTTTTAAAATTTCCCACCAGAGTTCTAACGTGAGAATCCTCCCAAGATCTTACCTTCCACCCTCTTGGCTCTGCCCTTCCTCACCATTCTCTCCTTTGAGGATCTCATTCACCTGGCAGCTTCAACTACCACCTCTAGGAAGCTGATTACCATGTCTCCTGTTCTTTTATCTTTCCCCTGGTAGAGTACCACAGTTCAAATCACATCCTGGGAATCTCCCTTCGCATTTCAAATTTAAAATATCTAAAATCTAAAGTAACTTTCCCCCAAAGCCAGTTTCTTCTTCACAATGTGGTTCTAAAAAGGGTACCATTCTCTTCTCAACCCTTGGACTTGAAACTTTGACTTGCTCTTTTTTTGATACCCATTATATCCAATCACTAACACCAGATTTTGCTGATTTCTCTTTTGAAAAGTTTTCACCTTTCCTTTCCTACTTCTTTCACCTTATGTTTGGTCTTTACCATTTCATTCTAAAACTAATTTGTGATTGCTTTCTAAAAAGTCTCCAGTCTGTGCCTACTGCAGCTCGTTTTATAGTCCACTAGATCAGTCTTCCTAAAACATTACTTTGCCCATACCACATTCCCTATGCAAATTTGCCAATGGCTCTTAATTGGCATTAGGATAAAAATGGAAACTCTAATTACTAATGTCTAAAGTCCCCCCAAAACTGTTCCCACCCTATTTCCAGCTGTATATTCCATGGCTTCTCTAAGAACCCTCTGCTTTGGACCACCAAGTTTATTGACTATCCTTCAACCCCACATGATACTTCCTGCCCAACCACTTGGACCCTTTTTCATTTTCTTCTACATAAATCCTGTTTCTTCCAGGAAGTCTTCCAAGATCACTCTAGACCAGCCTTTTTCAATGTTGGCCCTATTGACATCTTGGGCTGAATAATTCTTTGTTATAACGGGCTATCCTGTGTATTGTAGGGTGTTTAGGAGCATGCAGGGCTTCTGTCCAATAGATAACAGTAGTAGTCCCAGTCGTGACAAACAAAAATGTCTCCAACCATCACCAAATGTCTTCTGGGGGCAAAATGACCACCTGTTGAGAACAGGGAAGTCTCCCTTGGCAAAGAATTATCCAGCTCAAAATGTTAATAATGCCAGGGTTGAGAAGCCCTGCTCTATGCTAATGTTTTTCAAACTGCAGGTTGTGGCTTGTTGGTGGATTGTGAAATCAATTCAGTGGACTGCAAAGAGCATTAAAAAAAGAGAAACAATAGAAAATTTCAGATTGTATTACACCATTTTAAGGGCAAGTCACTTAATAAAACTTTTGTTTCAGTTTTCTACAAGTACACACATATTTTGGACTATGACACAAAATGTATTTCTTACTATTAGTCTTTTTTTTTTTTTTTTTAATTTTTTTTACTGGCTAGCCAGTACAGAGATCTGAACCCTGGACTTTGGTGTTACAACACCAAACTCTAACCAACTGGCTAACCGCCCAGCCTCTCTTACTATCAGTCTTGGTCATAAAAGTCTAATGCCACTGTCATTAGCCACTGTAGTCAGAGATCTCATACTACATGAACTCCCATGACTTAGTATTTCTATCATTCCTCTGGCTACATTTCTATTATTGTTTGTTTAACTCATGTTCTTAAGTAACTGTATGCTTATGTCTTTCTCCCTAAACCTATAAAATCTTGATGGCAGGGCCTGTGTTTTACATGCTTTAGAATCCTCCACAATAGTATCTTAAGTAAAGTTATGTTTCCAATACTTCTTTTTTTTTTTTTAGTTTTGACTTTAACTCAGTAACATAACAAAACCATTTAGAAGGTTCCTAGAGTAAGTTTTGAGTCCATACTTGCCTGCAAAGAGATCCTGTGGCTCTTGATCTTGTTCCTCATGGATCCCATTTTCTTTGGAGCCATTGTTGATGGCAAGAAGGGGTGTAGCTCTCTTTGGAGACTGGGGCTTACTCTGAAAACAAAGACAGTCTGAATAAAACAGTTCCATTAAAACACACACATGTGCACACACACAAAACAAATGCAACTTGCCTAGAAAGTGACTTTTAATGCATCCTTTAGTTGCTCCCAAAGGTGTTTATAGAAAGACAGAATCAATAGCTAGCCAGTTTAATAAGCAGCAAACCATTATTAGTAATGTAAGTGCTGCCCAAGTGATCAAGAGCTAAAACAAGTTCACACATTTTAGGGTTAATTTCTAACACCATAACTTTGCTGAAATGCCCTACCCCAAAGCACATGATACTAACATGGGTATGTGTACAGACAGATAATTTTCAAAAGAACCTGTCCATATACATTTGTCTTTTTCAGCTGATGACCTTTATTCTTTCAAATGCTGATGGGGCACATTTTAGTGACTAGGACACCATACTGGAGTCCAGAATTCAAGCTCTAACCCTGGCTTGCTTTGAGGCCTTGGCTAAACCGTTAACTGGAGCCCAGTTTTATGGATATTTCTGACCCACTAGACAGGCAAAGGAAAGTATAACACTTTACATCTAAACTTTGTAAATATAACTTATCTTTTCATCTTTAATTCACGCAGACACAACTTTCAACTGTACCCCCTGTCAGGCTAGGAGAATAAAAACCAGTCATGCTTAGCCTAGTGGGCACATGGTGAAAATACAGTCAGTCCATGGCCTTTATTAAAAGCTCAGTGATCAGTTGCAAACAAGGGTGGGGTGGGTCCCCAGACCGGTACCAGAGTGAACAAAGCCAGATTGTGCAGAACATGAACAGAAAGCTGGGAATCTGGCTACAAAAGCCATGGTGCGGTATTGCAGGGTTTTGAAGTCAGACCCTAAGGCCAAATCAGTTAAAAGACTTGACTTAAGGAACCTTTTATGAAACATTTCCTTAACAAATCTGAGGGAGTCTGTTCCTTGGAGACAGACCTTTTCTGATCCAGCTAAACAAAGTGAAATGACAGATCTATTTGGGTATTCTGAATTTGCCATGCAAACACCTTCATCCCAATATTGGGGCCACCCTCTAGAAAAGAATAGATTTATATTAGCAAACAATGCTTCTACTGGAACTTTTCTAAGCTAATAAAGTTTAAAAAGCACTTAGTTGTATATGCTATACCAATTCTGTTAGAGACAGTGGTCCTGTCCTCCTGCTGCTTCCACAATCTTAAAAAACGGAACAAAAAAACCACTGCACAGAGACAGAAGACAAATAACAGGATAAAAACAAAACGAGCATTTCCCTTGTCTCAAACACTGCCAACCACCTTCCTGCACAACCACTTTCTTCTTATACTCTTGAACAGTACAGCAATCTCATAAGAAGCCACCTGATTTCTTTTAATTCACTTCCCAATGACACCAGTCATTCCCAGATGGGGATCTAGGAGAGATTAAAACCCAGTACACAAATAATAATTTGTATACTAATAATTTGTATACATGGGGGAGACTAAAGCAACAGGAAAGGAACAGGTTAGAATTCAGCCACTTTTAAAAATGCCTAGAAGAATCCAGCCCTGAGATATAAAATGAATAAAGCCAGCTTTCCATTTCTGATCTACCATCTAAACTTGGAAGGTTAATGCGTAAGAACATTTTCTGAGCAGTGTTAGAATAGCAGTCTCTTTCCCTCTACTAATTAGAAAAGACAGACCCTGATGAATGGTATACTGCAGTGACAACTAAAGCACTATTCCTTGTTGCTCTTCCCAACCCCAAACCATAAATTGTTTGACTAGAATTGTTATTAAAACAAAGACTTGTGTTCTCTTGGTATAGGTAATGACTACGTGTGAGAATAGAAAACTGCTCTCAGATATCTTTTGGGACTCCATCCCCAAACCACACATGGCTAAATTCTAAGAGAGCTGAAGACAGTTACGTTGATTACTGTACTTACTACCCTAATTTTTCCTGTATAGTTTTTTTTTTACAAAATTAATCTTCCACATATGTAAAACTCTGTATCCTGTTTTTTCCCCTCTACCGCGCGAGCATTTTCTCATGTCATTAAGAACTATACAAATATCCCACTTTTAGTGACTTAACTCTCTGTCATACGGGTATACTACAACATTATCATTCACATGTTTATTGGTCATTTGAATCCCTATGACTTGTCTTGATGTCCTTTGTCTATTTTTCTATGCTAAGTTAGCATTACTTAGGTGTACATTTTTCTTACATAATAAGTACATTTACCTTCTCTCTGGCATATTGTACAGTACACCTTCCCAACTTTATCTCTTTCATATTTGTCTTATTTTTGCCCCTATCAAATCTATTTTCAGTTGATTTGGATTGGCACTAGACAAATTAAACTTATTTCTTTAGGCTGAAGGGTACCCAGCACACAGCTGGCCCTCGAAGTATATTATTCTCAAATTTTACTTAAAATCAGATTTTTCAAAAACTGAGCAGAACCACTCTTAAGGATAAGAGGCGTACCCATGTCCATGGTATCCCATTTTCACATAATGCTGTTAATAGAAAACAAATCTTCCGTGAGACTTCCATTGAGTCTATAATAATAGCTTGTCATCAAAATAAAATACATACCTCCCTGGGCATGATAACAACACATTTCACAGGCTATGTCTAAGGTTAAAAGGCTAATTTTTAATAAGTATTAAAGATATAATTTATATTAGAAATCTAATTTTGAAGCAACAGTTAAAATTTCAGGAATAACTTATTTTGGGAGAAGAAGGGGACATATTGATTACACTGAGTGGCAAAATCAATACTAAAAATAAGCCTTGCTTTATAGTCTATATTTTAAATACCTCTTAGTAGTCAATAAGTCACATAACTATCCATCTGTTTGAAAGGGGCTAAATTTCTAGGCAATAGATAAAACTATTTTCTGTGATAAAAATAGTATGATTGGGATGTAGTAAATAAAGCCAAAGAACTGCCCTGCCTACTTGCCAACTTCCCCTTGCCCCCCGCCTTTTTTTAAAAACATAAAGGAAGCATTCTTCTTTTCTTTTTTCTAGCAGATGGATATCCTAGGATATCCAACACTTGCTTACTCCCTTTGGCTGTTAAATTCTAGCAGGTGGCTCCACTGATAAACCTGTTTAAAAGTTCAAGTGCTTCTGTTTATAATTATAAGAGCATACCAAACAGACCAATACTAATTCGCAGAGAGACACTAGAAAGAACTGCTAGCAAAAGAACACTTTTTTTTTGGCAGCTGGGAACACTTTTGTTAAGAGTATTTTGCTAGGGTATTTGTCAACAATTACCAGACTCAAACCATGAGGCCCAGGCCACTAACACAATTTTCTTAGCTCAAGGAAAGAAAGAGAGATGTGGGCTTGCTGCCCCTCAGAGCTAACATTGCCATTTATTTATTTATTTATTTTTTGTCTTTTTCCGTGTCCGGCAACGGATCGCAACCCTCAGTGTCGCCCCCGTACCAGACTGGGACCGGCAACGGGATCGCAACCCTCGGTGCTGCTCCCGCGCCTCGCTCAGCCAGTGAGCGGGAACCGGTCTGTATGTGGGATCCGAACCCTCGGGCGGGAGCGCCGCCGCGCTTCCCAAGCGGCGCACTATAGCAGTGCACCACCGGGCCGGCCCATAACATTGCCATTTAGTAGTGAAAAGTATTACTATGATTCTGGGCAACTTCCCTTTAGGTGAACCAGTTGTGATTCTTACGCATGGTGCTTAACTGCTCTTTGCTCCATGCAGAACCCATGCATTACATTCAAGGGACCTCAAAAGGGTAGGTACTGTTAAAATCCTCAACTGCATCTAGAGGTTGAATCCAAATTAAATGCTGAGGTAACACTGCTTCTGGAGTACTAGCGTACTCATTCCCCCCCCCCCCAAAAAAAAAATGGCCGGTAAGGGGATCTTAACCCTTGATTTGGTGTTGTCAGCACCACACTCTCCCGAGTGAGCCACGGGCCGGCCCGAACGTACTCATTTTTTGAGGGGAAGTTAGTATACTTTATTTCATAAGGAAAGATAGGGCTAAGGAGTTGTGTGATCATACTAATGTAACCACAATTAGGAATAAGTCAACCCTGAGAGCTATACCCAGATGGTAACGGGGCAGCCATGTAGTCTTTAAAAATTACCCTTGGCATAAAATACTGTTCCTTTTACCACCTTTACTTCTAGGGGAGAAATGAACAAACGAAGCAGGGCAGTGTATTAGTTTTCTATTGATGCTGCAACAAATTATCACAAATTTAACAGTTCAAGCTATGCAAATTTATTATCTTATAGTTCTGTAGAAGTCCAACACAAGTCTCACTGGGCTAAAATCAAAGTGTCAGTAGGACTATGTTCCTTTCTGGAGGTTCCTAGGGGAGAACTTCTTTCCTTGCCCTTTCCGGCTTCTAGAGGCCATCCAAGTTCCTTGGCTCATGCCCCGTTTCTCTATCTTCAAAGCCACCAATGTTGCATCTCTCTATGCCTTTCTTTCACAGTCATCTTCCACAGTCTCTCTCACATTTTTAAGTATCTCTGTTATTACAATGGTCCCACCCAGATAATCCAGCATAATTTCCCTCTTTTTTTTTTTTTTTAAAAAGATGACTGGTAAGGGGATCTTAACCCTTGACTTGGTGTTGTCAGCACCACGCTCACCCAGTGAGCAAACCGGCCATCCCTATACAGGATCCGAACCCGTGGCCTTGGTGTTGTCAGCACCGCACTCTCCCGAGTGAGCCACGGGGCCGGCCCAAATTTCCCTCTTTTAAGGTCAGTTGATTTACAATCTTAATTCCACCTTCAACCTTAATTCCCCTTTGCCACATATCCTAACATATTCACTGGTTCTGGGATTAGGATGTGGATATCTTTGTGGGGAAGTAAGGGCATTATTCTTCCTACCATAGGCAGCAACTTCTCTCCCACCACGTTTCAAAAATGGCACTGATGCACTAAAAGCAACTGTGCTTGGGAGAATGGACATTCAGTGTCCACTGGATTTGGGAAGAGGGTGCTCAAGCAATTGAACTAGAAATTCTTATCTTGGGGTCCATCAGCCACAGAATTCAGGGGGTAGTCTATGAACTTGAATGCGAATAAAATTACAATTTCATTTTCACTATCTTCTAACTGAAATTCAGCATTTTCTTCAGTCATAAAGATAGGCAACAAACCATAATAACAACAGCAGTACCTGAGACTGTAACTAATAGACATTAGGTATTTTTATACAATATGTAAAAAAATCATAAAATTTGATATAGTTGTTATAGATCTCAAAGTATCATTTATGCTCATCTCTATTTAAAAATTACTATTCAAAGCATTAAAAAGCACATTACTAATATAAAATTTTTCATGCGTTAACTGTATTTCAATATAATTGGTTTCCTTTGTAATCTTTTGTATTTTATACATTTAAAAACATTATTCCGAGAATGGATCCACAGCTTTACTGGATTGCTAATGGACCCACAGCACAAAAAGAGGTAAGGAATTTCTGATATAGAGGGAGAGGGACTAATAAAAATAGAAAAGGGGGAGCTGGAAGGGTGGGGAAAATGAGCCAAAGCTGACCGTTGAACTAGTTAAAAGCCATGAGCAAGGCCATTAGAGACCTCAAACTGAAAGGGCATACCATGATCTCTCAAAATTTAGGTACAGACAGTGCACTGAATTCTGTGGTGTAATTTCCCTACTAAACTTTTTGGGCCTCAAACTAACAGAACTTAGAAGGGCCCAGAAAACTGCAGAAGGATCAGAGTACTAATGGGTGGATTATCTTCTAAACTGAAAAAGCAAATCCAGTTTAAATCTGCTCTGAAAGCAGAATGAAGCCCAGCTGT